ACGTGGACTAGCTTCTCAAGAGGTGCGTTTAAAAACGCGTTTAGCACATCATACTGATATGCTTTTAGGCCAAAGGCTGCCGTGAGAGCCATGAGAAATCCGAACACTCGTGCGGCCAGCGTGGCTGCGTACGTGTCGCCCCAGTCCTCCTGGAGGTCTCCTCTCACGACAAGCCGAGCCTTGTACTTGTACAGAAGTCCGTCTTCATCGAACTTGTACGTGAATACCCACATCAAGGGCAATCTCTGGCTATCAACCACTGTGGCTGACGTTGTCTTAAAGCAGCCCTTTTCACGACAGCTCTTGAATTCTTTCGCTGCTGCCGCTTTAAATTCCTGTCCGAAAGGGTGCTTCTCTAGGTCTTTCCATCTCTTTGGCGGAGGCGGAAGCTCATCCCTGTGTAGCCGTGATTTCTGTGGCTCTGTTTGCTGAAGTGCTTGGGCGAACGCAACAAAGTACGTGCCGAGCGTCTTCCTCTGCCTTTTCCCCGTCAGAACGTTCGACTCACTAACCTGACCGCTAATCTCCTCACGTCTTGGAGCGTTGTTTAATCGTCGATCTGGTGCCTCTGCTTCGGCTGGTATAGGCTCCCAGCCTCGCGGCATCTCGACTATTTCCGACTCAGGCTCAGGCTCATGCTGGGTCGTCGTTTCTGGAGTGCTCCTAGGTGTTGGCAGCGCGCGAGACGTATCTTTGGCTTGGTCTGTTCGAGCGGCTTGGTCGGACCGGCTCGGACCACTCCAGTCTCTCTGCGCCGACTGCAGGAGCAGTTCTATCTCCTGGTCGGTTTCCTCTAGTGGTTCTGGAACGTCCAGTATCGTCACCACCTCTCTCAGAGTCTGTCGATCTGGGTAGACAGGCTCAGTTCCATCATTAGACATGAAGACGACGTCTCTCGTCCTGAGGACTCGTCCTAGGGACTCGTCCTAATGCTGGCATCCATACTCGGTATATGTTCGTGGAGTCGTATCCAACTAGCTGTCCGATCAGCGCGCGAGATTCGAGCTTCTCTCCTCGCTTCAGCTTATTATTCAGCACGTAGGCTCGGGCTCCCACAACATTGAGGTGAGCTGCCGACGGCTTCTGTCCACGTACAACCTCGTACGGAGTCTTCCATCCCAGTGATTCGACTGGTGTTCTGTTAAGCAGGTAGACTGCCACAAGACAGCACTCATTTGAGAGTTCCATTGGCAGTCTTCCATCAATTCTGACCGCTCTCGCTCGGATCACGATCATCTTCCCAGCCTGTTCTGATAGGCCGTTCTGCTCCTCTGTGTACTCAGCTCGGGGTTCCACAATAATACCAAGATCTTTAAGCACATGGAGCAACTCGCCATAGCCGCGCTCGTTGTCAAGCTTCACGACTACTACGACCGCGCCGAACTAGCGTTTAATCTTAGCTAGTAGACGCATTAATGTGTGCTTAAGGGTGCCTGAGCTCTTGTCTGCTAGGCAGCATACCTCATGCCACTTGCTATACTAACACACTGCATAGAGCATCCATAGGTCTCCATTATAGCAGCGCTCGTTTCTTTCTCTTAGCTGCACTAGGTCCATTCCTATTCGGTAGAACGGACGTTCAGCTGGCTCATTTTGAGCTCTCCTGCTCGCAAACTTGTGAAGCTTCGTTTCAATACAGACTTGACAGTCTGTCCATGTTAGAGCGATTGCCTGCTCCTCGACACTAATTCCGATTATATGATCGTTTAAGTGCCTAACTGCTTTTCGGCTGATGTGGCCGAACATCCGATGAGCCGTGTCCTGACTGACTGAGAGATCCTTCCTCGGTTCCTTTGAGGGCTTGGTATATCGAGTCGCGTACGTAGAGAGTAGATCTAGCTCAGATTTCTGGTCTTTCTCCCAGACTCCGCAACAATCAATCCAGATTGGTCAGATTGATTGATTTGATTGGTCATTTGGAGTTTTTACCAACTCAATCAACTCAATCTAAGCTTTTCAAAATAGCTAATCAAATCAACTTGCGAAGGTCAGATTGATTGATTTGATTAGTTAGATTGATTTATTATTAACGAGTTGTAAGGCGAGTAGTGTCGTATTAAGAGAAGGTTTTTGGTGTTGAAGATAGTTATCTTGGACCCCTATCTCGCTTAGCTTGTGATCCCTGTCGGCCGGGCAAGCCAGTCTCTATGCATTCACTTCTCACCAGCTAGCTCTCCTCTTATAGGACTAGCTCCTTCTGCTTAGGGGCTAGCCTCTTCTAGGCTTCACCCCGCACCTATATAGCTAGTCCTTCGCTGTTCTTAATACAACAACGATTTCGCTCACTCAGTTCCCTAATAATCCCTTACACACAACGCTAGTTGCCTAGCTACCTATACAGACATTTTTCTTTAGTGTTTAGTATCGCCCACGATGGCCAAACGCTCTCGAGTTCCCACCAATACTGCTGCCGCCGCCGCCGCCGCCAAACGGGCGCGCCTATCAAGGCCCTCTTTCCTATCTCAGCGATCGCTGTCGCCCCAGGAAACCCTTGGCGCCGCCGTAAGCCAGGCCACAACGTTTGAGTCGCAATTTTTCGAGTCGCAAACAGAGGAGGAGGGTGCGGCTGAGGGCAGCCAGGCTGGTACAGCAGCAACAACAGAGGCTAGCGTTGATACAGAGCCTGATAATGGCGATAACTTTGACGGCATTAACTGGGATCGCCTCCCTCGGTTCATGAAGCCTCTTACAACTGGGCGGCGCGTCAAGAGTTGGATCTTTCAACATGGATATCGCGTTGTTGAGCTCTACGATCAGAATCGAGTGTGGTTTGTATGCAAATACTGCCACATCCACAAGGTCATTGACACTGGCGGCAGTGGAGTTTTTGACGTATCAAAGGCCACCTCCTCAGCTGCAGCTCATCTTGGCCTTCAGAAACGAGGCCATGGCTTTACAAAAGACGGCCTGAAGCCTCGAAGAACAGGGCAGCAACTCTCTCTACGACAGACGCTGGAGACTGGTGTTGCAGTCTCTCAAGAGGCTGCCAACGCGATGGGCAACTTCAACATCCAGCAGTTTCGTGAAGTTGCAGTGTTCTGCCTTCTTGATAACAACTTGCCAATGGAGCTACTTGCAAGGCCGTCCTTTCGCGAGATGATTAGCCTTGCAAACCCAGAGGCAGAGGCAGCTTTGTGGGTAAGTCCTCGCAGTGTAGCTACCTACGCAATGCGCCTCTTCCAATATATGCAGCCACAGATTGTCTGCGCTCTGTCAGAAGCTGCAAGCAAGATCCACATAAGCTTTGATGGTTGGACGACAAAGGGTGGCAAGCGTGGATTCTTTGGAGTCGTTGCACACTTTGCTAACGCCTCTGGAGTGATACAAGATCTCCCCATCGCCCTCCCACATCTCGCAGGCTCTCATACTGGTGATGCTATCGCTGATACAATTAAAAAGACGCTCCAAGAATACAGTATTGGGAGTGATAAACTCGGCTACTTCGTCCTCGACAATGCTGCAAACAACGATACTGCAGTCTCCTCGCTCGCCCACGCGTACGACTTCAACGCTGCTCACCGACGCCTCCGCTGCGGCCCTCACACGCTTAACCTTATTGGCCAGGCAATTATCTTTGGCAGCAATCAAGAGGCGTACAACAACAACAACGACGAGCAGCTCCAAACAGAGGAGGTGTACATGCAGGAGTGGCGTCAAGAAGGGCCCTTAGGTGTACTTATCGACGTTATCAACCATATAAAAACGCCTCAACAACACGAAATTTTCCGAAGCTTCCAAACCGCCGCCAACGCCGAGTTGCCAGCTAGAGAGCGCCTCCACGTACTTGAGCCTGTGAAGCCTGTTGTTACACGCTGGAACTCTTACTACGCTGCCTTCAAACGCGCAACTCAACTCCAGGCAGCATACAACTCTTACGCTGAGCACTACATTAACGCACTCTCCCTTGAAGATCGCCGCGCTTGTCAACGTGGCAATAAACTCCCTGAAGCACCTAGTTGGATGAGATCAACAGGACTTACAGCTGCTGATTGGGCGGTGATAACAGAGTATCAGGACTGCCTAGAGCCGCTTAAGCTTGCTACGGAGAAGCTTGAGGGTCGCGGAAAGGCAGGCAAATACGGCGCTATATATGAGACTATTCCTGTATTTGAATACGTACTTGGCGCGCTCGAAGCCCGTACGCGCTCGTACGAGCAAGTTGACTTCAACCCACCTGATGCGCCTGAAGATCACCTCTTTGTTAACCTCCGCGCCGCCTGGAGTAAGGCCAACGATTACTACAACAAGCTCGATCGATCGCCAGCATACTACGCTGCTACCTGCCTCCATCCATACTACAAATACTACTGCGAGAACAGCTGGGTGGATAAGCCAGAATGGCTAACATCAGCCAACGCTGGCTTCCTGCAGCTCTGGCAGTCGTATAAGCCTCAACGTACACGTCCTCCATCTCAAACAACTGCAAAACCAAGGCATGGAGGAATAGATGATGTGATTGGCGCCCTCGTACGGCGCAACAAGGCTCAGGTAGAGGCTGCCCACGACGATGAGTACGAGCGCTGGAGAACTCAAGAGCCAGAGTGGACAAGCGAACAGTATCTTAGCGATGGCCACCCAGTCAAGTACTGGATTCAATTACGCTCAAAATACCCGTGTTTAAGCCAGTTTGCGATTGATATACTCACGATACCAGCATCTAGTTGCGACTGCGAGAGGCTCTTTAGCGAGCTTGGCGATTTACTTGAGCCGCGCCGGCGAGCTCTTGGCAGCGAGTTACTTGCTGCCCTTCAGCTTGTACGTTCGTGGAGACGAGCTGGCTTTGACGGCTTGTACAACAACGGTGATGATGAAGACAAGTGGAGTGACGTCAAAGATGAGGAGATTGTACAACAGTACGATATAGAAGGCTGGAGTACAACACCATAACCCCCTGTATACTACTTCTTAGCATCAATCAGCCAATCAACCAATCAATCGCAATCAATCTGCTCAAAAACCCTAACAATCAATCCGCAATCAATCAGCAGCGTCGCCGCAAGCTAATCAAACCAATCGACAACCTTAAGATTGATTGATTTGATTGTTGCGGAGTCTGCTTTCTCCACATCAACGAGCCAGTGGCCATCTCTATACTGGAGTAGACAGATCACGTTCGATGCATTCTTTTGATATAGACAGTCTCTGCCTGAGTCAAAGTTGATGCCGAGAGATCGGCTCCGCGATAGGCCAACGACGCTCGTGAAGAAGCCAGGGATGTACGCCACCCATGTAAGCTTCATCCGTCCTTCTCCTATCGGAGTCTTGACCTGGATAGTCGTTTCTCCCCATTCTTCGACTTGAGTGAGGGCTCCTCCAGCGTATACACAGTCTGAAGGCTCCCCTTTCTTTGTCAAGATCTAGTCAGCTCCTTTCGTATTCGTGACGTGGCAGTTCGAACCTGGATCAAGTATCCATCTCGTGAGCAGCGGTGGAGCTAATAGTCCTGTAGCTGCTGCAGTCTGCAGCACCGCATTAACGTGTGGCTTATCGCGCGCTGGCTGTCCATCGTCCATACTGATCATGGACGAGCTCTGGACCTCAGCCTGCGGCTTCGTCTTCTTCTTAAGCCCCCGCTCTGCTGCTCTTAGTGCATTGGCTATCGAATTCGACGTAGGACTGTCTCTAAGCTCTGTGAACTTATCCTGAATTGCCTTGTCTGGCTTCCAGCCCTTTGTCCGAACTGACTGGTTAACGTACGGGCAGTTGTCGAATTTGTGGTTTTCTCCATCAAGACACTTCGGTATCCATGGTCCTGAGCGTGTACGAGTTCCTCGGCTGTTGCTACTGCTTGTCACCTCGAGCGTAGCAAAGGTTCCAAGTCCTGACGCGATTGGACGTGTACGTCGGTAGTACGATCTGAACTCCGCGATCAAATCCGCGATCAGCGGAAATTCTTCATCCTTCTGTTCCTTCTTAATAAGGTCTTGCAGCTGAGTAGCTGCCCAGCTATCGTCTAGGCCTCTAATTGACAGGATAAACTCTTCCTGCGCTCTGTTGCCAGTCGTCTCTGGAATCTTAGCCTCCGTGAGGAGTCGGGTGATCGTCACCCACTCGTCGAACCATGTGTCTAAGTTTGCCGTCTTTGGTCTCGTGCAGACTGCTGTGTACCGAGCTCTGAGTTGGTGGTTCCTCTGTCCAATCGATGGACAGAGGTGCTTCTTTAGTGTTCTCAGCTGGCTATAGGCGTCTGCGCAATCGAGGATTAGGTCTAGGTGTTTGACGTCAATTGTCTGCACGATCTCTAGGCTTAGGGTTCGGAGAGCCTTCTCCTTCGTGAGCCACCTGGCCTCGTCGCGATCGAATCGTCTAGCCCATGAGTTGTACGTAGCGAGCTCTGTCGCTGTTAAGTCTGGGATGTCGATCTGCTCGTCTGTAAGAGGATTTCGAAATCTCCTCACTTCGAGCTCTTTGGGTCTTTCGTCTTCCAGCATCTTCAGCCTCTCTGGCGAAAGATCTAGGTTAACGTACTCCCACAGACTATTTCGGTCTGCGGATATCTTCCTCGTGAGCAACCATTTCGACCAATCGTCTGGCTTTCGGAGGGTAACTGACGCTCTCGCCACCTGCATTTCGTGCTCTTGAGTCGCGCGGGAGTCGGGGTCGTACGCTCGCTAAAAGCCGCATGACTGCCAATCTGCTGGTTACGTAGTTAGGTTAATGCGTCGCACATCAAGGGCCGCGGATAATCTACGCCGGCTGCTTCTCTGAACACCCGGCGGGTTATATAAGTGACAGGATTTGGGCGTAAAGAAATACCATAAGTATTGTCTATCTATGCTTGGTTGCTACGCCACAAGCCGTCCTTAATACGCCTTATCCTCGTCTGTCTGGTCGTCCTCATCCAGCTCGACAGTGTAGACGTCCTGGTACTTGGATGGCTTCACTACCTGTATTGCGATTTTGTCCGTCCAGAGCGCAAACATGGTCTCAACGTCAAGTTTGTGCAGCTGCAGGCCTGCGAGGAAGAACACGAAGTCGCCCGGGCCAACATATAGCTGGTGGCTTGTCTTTAAGAACCCCCGACGCCAAGGACGAGGATCATCGAGTAGTAGTGTCCTGTCCTATGTTAGCATTTGCGCCTGAGCTCATAACTAGGTGGGATAATGCCGCACCATCGTCGCCTCCGCCATGATAGTAGCTGGTGCCCTCGCTAGCCGATATGAACACGGCCATCATGCTCCCGATGCCGCCTATGCGAAAGAATGATTTGCGGGCGCGGCGAGGGGCCTTAGCAAACCAGGCCTTGTGAGCCTTGGCGGCGGCAGCGGCGTAGCTCTATCAGCGCCTGTACCTGTTCGAGTAGGCCCTTGGCCCTGTCCGGAGATATACAGTCGGTGAAGCGGATGGCGGCGTATCTGGAAATCTCGCGAAGTTTAGGTTTGGAATCGCAGCATGCGCGATGGTACTGTTGCGAGGACTTGACCAGGTGAATGCGCGGCTCACCGAGCATCTCAAACTGCAAGCTCCCACGAATCCGTCGCTATGCGACTCTCTGTTGCTCCTTCGCCTCTTGTCGCCGGGCTCTTAGGCCTGCCTCTTCTCAAGTCGCTTTGAGGACGGCTGAGGGCGGCAAAATGCGTGCGGCGAACAGTGGGCGTAGGGACACTGGAGTCGTGGAGCGGACGTAGTGGTAAGAGCGCTCGAAGATGAACCGCGGAAGCTCAGCAGCCTGGGACTCACCCTCGTTGAGAATACTGCTGGTGGATCGGGCGAGCCGCACCCTTTATCGCGAAGTGGGAGCAGAGATAGAAGTCAAACTCATATGGATGAGTGCAGCCAGACTCCACAAGAGTACTGGGCAGGGGGGTTGCCGTTGCGATTGCCCTTGCCGACTTCAGGGAAGAAGCGGATGTGGTGGCGCTTGCCGGTAATGACAACGGTGAATTTAAGGAGCTCTTTGCAACCCAGCTTCTTGAAGCACCCCTTAAGTTGTTGACTTCCTCCTCAAGCGCAGCGGCGTGCCGTCCGTCCCCGATGTGGCCATGGGTGCGAAGGGGAGGCGGAGAGGATGTGGGGAGCGCGTTGATGCGGGCGATGGGTCGGGCCGCTGCTGAGTTGGCCTAACGTGTCCGTGCACCTCGTGCACGGATTCATCTCGTGCACGCTGAACACCAAACGCGCGTCTCAGCGTCATAACTTCAACGCGCTATAACTCAACAACCATGGCTCCAATTGATGATGCGATTGCAGATTTAGAGTCGCAAGAACCCGGAGAAAAACTTGTATTAGCAGAGTTTGCGAGGAAATGGGGTGTCAGCCGCGCAACTCTATCGCGGAGGTGGAGGCGCGTGACAGGGCCTAGGAGTAATGGATACGCTCAGCAGCAAGCTATCAGCCCACAACAAGAGCTAGAGCTTGTGAGATATATCGAAACGCTCACAGAGAGAGGCCTTCCTCCCACAAGAGAGATGATCAGGAATTTCTCATCAGAAGTAGCCCATCAGCAGCTCAGCGAGAGCTGGGTTACTCGCTTCATCAACAGACACGAGATCCATCTCATCTCAAAGTGGACCAGCGCCATGGATCGTACGCGCCACCTGGCTGATTCTGAGTCAAAGTATAGACTCTACTTCGAGCTGCTGCATCGAAAGATCACCGAATACCACCTTGAGGCTCGAGATATATACAATATGGATGAGAAGGGCTTCTTGATTGGCTTGATAGGCAGAAGCAAGAGAATATTCAGCAGGCGTCAATGGGAGAAGAAGGAGGTTCGAGCATCTCTCCAGGATGGATCACGCGAGTTTCTGACAGTCCTGGCCTGCTGCTGCGCCGATGGGAGCTCGCTGCCCCCAAGCCTCATCTACGCATCTGCGAAAGGAGCTATACGATCAAGTTGGGTAGAGGATATCAAGGCAGGAGAACATGATATCTTTGTCTCATCATCTCCAACAGGCTGGTGAAACAATAACATTGGTCTAGCTTGGCTTGAGCAGGTGTTTGATCGCTGTACAAAGCAGCGATCAGGGAGATGGAGATTACTCATCCTTGATGGCCATGGATCTCATGTCACGATGGAGTTTATCAAGTACTGCGATCGCCATAGGATTCTCCTCATGATTCTTCCTCCCCATTCGACTCACACGCTCCAGCCGCTCGATGTAGTGCTATTTAAGCCACTCTCTCAAGCCTACTCCAACGAGCTCACCAATCATCTCCATAAGGCTCAAGGCCTCGTCCCAATCAAGAAAGGAGAATTCTTCCCACTCTTCTGGAGCGCATGGATATCCTCCTTCACAGAGAACCTTATATTGAAGGCCTTCGAAGCTACTGGGATCTGGCCGATAGATGCTAACGTTATCCTTCGTAGATTTACCAGCACGCCAGAAGCTGAGAGAAGCTCATCGTCAGGGCTCTCTGATCATGACTGGAGAAAGCTCGATCGGTTAGTACGAGCTGCTATCAATGATAGCCATCAGTATGAGGCAAGAAAGCTGCGCTCGAGCGTTCACCATCTCTCTGTGCAGTATGAGCTTTTACAGCATGAGAACGAGGGCTTAAAGGAGGCTCTTCAACATAAAAAGAAGCATAAGAAGAAGGGCAAAGCTCTTAACCTTCAACAGCGCCAGGAGTATCACGGTGGCGCAGTCCACTGGTCTCCTCGCAAGCTGCGTGAGGCTCGAGCTAGAGAAGCAGTACGGGAGCGAGATGAGATGGAGGAGAAACTCCAAAAAGCACGGGCCAAGAAGCAGCGCGAGGAGGCTCGACTGCAGCGTCAAGTTGAGCTCGAGGAGAGGCGTGTGGAGAGGCAGACACTCAAGGAGATGAGGGAGCTTGAGCGAGCTGAGAAAGCAGCTGAACGCGCGCGCAAAGTTGAAGCTCAACACCAGAAAAAATCTATCCAACAAGCTTAACAACGCAAGCGTAAAGCCTCACAAGTACTCTCACCAAGTAACAAGCGTCAAAAACGCGCTAGCGCTGCTCACGCTGGTGTTCAAGCTGGAGATGAGCTATCTGCTATTCCAGCCAAAGTCACATCACGTGGTCGCAACGTCAACCTCCCACAAAAATATAGATAGTACAAGTTGATCGCAAGCATCTGATTACTGCTATACTACGTTTTTATTAATATTGAGCTATTATGTGGCGTTGTACAGCCTCATTTTTGAGATCGCTAAGATAGTGTTCGGCGTGCACGAGATGAATCCGTGCACGAGGTGCACGGACACGTTAGTTAACACTAATGACCCCAACAGCCAATATCAGGGAGATCACCACGGGAAACGTTAAACGACCACCCCATAAGACCCGAACGGGGATAGTGCCGGCGATCCGTCGCACCATCGTATTTGTATGGGAGCTACACCAAAACTGGATGTATTCGTAATTCTTGGCCACTGTATCGTATCTTTGTAAATATACGCTGTTTTGGGTTGTTTTGCGGGCCCAGGCATGGCAAAATGGGTTGTTTTGGCTACTCAAAGCATCGATTTCTGGGCCCTTTTGGCCATTTTTTAGATATTTCAACGGCTGTTACTATCGAACATTGTGCTGCCGAACACCCAGCCACATTGACGCGCCGGGATCGGATACCTAAAGCTAACATCTAGCTCTATTAATTGCGTCGGTATCCTAACATGAGGCTGCTGATAGTTTGTTGCCGGCGACGGCGGCGGCAATCGCTGAGGTTGAGCCTGATAGCTCAGTCCCGTTGGCGCTGTTGATGGCCACGCCGGCGCTGGAACCCGTGTATAACCGCCAATATACGACCCATTGTATTGCTCGTAAGTCCGGTAATCGATTGACGGAGCGGGGTGAGGCTGGCGATAGCTGTGAAAACTCTGCGACAGCGGTTGACGGCTCGATTAGGACGCTGGGATAGTGTCAGCCTGGCACCTCAGTTCATCTGGTACACTGTGAACTGTATCTCACGTGACTCCTCGTCACCTGCTTACTCATCTCGGTTGTGTATATAATCGCTCTATGTAGCTCTCTCAATACAACAACCTTCTTCCTCTCTTCTGCCCTGTCCTACATCCGACAGATAGCTTGCAACGGGCGCTGTTGAAGCCTCCTGGAGCGAAAGTTAGCTGTGAAATCTCTGCAGGAAGCAATACTCATCTCCTCATCTTTACCCCCTCCCCCCGCTCGCCATCGCCATCAAAGTTGTATACCTCAGCTATGGCGAGCGGAGGGGGGAGGAGCTTATATCGTACCCACGGGCTAGCTGCTGGCGCGAGGCAGGTAAAGCTGGCGACTGAAGACTAGGTAAAGGCAGCTATTGGCTAGATTGTTGGCCAGGTACAGGCCATTGCTGAGCCGGATACAGCGCCGTGGTTGCTGTCGTCGGCGTCGTGGAGGCTGGCTGTCTAGATTGAAACACGAAGACATTCTCCGCCGGTACTGATGACTCTGTCATCCGTGCAGGCAGCGTCGACGGCGGCGCCGCTGCTCTGTTGTTACTATCGAGACGCTCAAGTAGACTGGGGTCGCGGCGTCCGCCACGCTTGCCAGCGCCTCGCTGATGCCGGCGAGCTCGCTGTCGCCGCTGTGTTGACTCTAAAACCTGCAGCTCTAACGGGGCCATGGGACGCTCAGGTTCAGCAACACGCTCTCGAGTAACCCACCAATGTTGATGGAAATCGGTGACCCGGAGGACGCCAGAGGTGCGCCAAAGCTCGGTGAGTTGATGCCAACAAGGCCTGTTTTGGGAGGTCGAATACCGGCCTTTGCAACGAGTGAACTGGTACGTATTGTCGGCGGTCTGTCTATCAAGTTGGGCGCGAGCGTACTTAAATTATTCAGCTGTCTAGGCCTTCGCGTAGCGGGTTATCTATCACACAACGGCGTCAAAAATTAGACCTTAACAGTCAGAACGCGTCTTGCTGTTAGCTTGCTCATCGGACAACTCAATATAGCTAACATGCTCTTCGTAGAAAGAGTAGAGGCGATAAAATAGACTCCGTATGTCAGCTCAACTGCCGCCGAGCCAGTCCTTCAGCACGCGGTGAGCGCTCTCAGCTCTGCTCGTCGCCATGAGCCCAAAATATAGGTATTCGTCAACCCAATACTTCACCAGCTTCTCCTTGTGGTTATTACAGCCCGTACTACTTTAAGTAAGCGGTTGCCCGGCTC